TAGTAAATTTCTCCGATTGGTCCATATTCTTGCATGAAACAGAAATGTTGATATAGTCGTACCTCGATATAATCACAGGGTTAAGAACCAAAATTGGATGTTATTAAATTGTGACTGTGACTACATGTATATCGAGAATGAACATTTCGATAGTGACCATATCGAGGTGTGGCTGTATTAGAATAATTATAATCTTATGCTCAAAAATATAATCAGTATTATAGCAGTATGTTTTGTATATATTTATTTTTAATATATACATTAAGACATATGGTTTTAAAGTCTGAACTTTTACAATGATTACTTTGTTCTGAAAATAATGTTAATTTATGTTAATAGCCTGCTTTTTAGCAAGTTATTTATATTTAATATCTTTTATTTTCGATAATTTTAAATTTTTTAGTCAAGAGTTTCTAACTCAAATTATTTAATAAAAGTTGCTAAATAAAATAGAATAAATAAATACAATGAATAAATATATCGACAAAATTTCAAGAAGTATATTTGGAAGTAGATAGATGCAATTAGAATGCATGTATGAGATGATGAAAGATTAGTATATACATATATTGTGAGAGTTTCAATCATAAAGAGGATCTAACATGTATAAAATTCAAATGCAGAATTTGCAAACATGCACATAAAAAATTTTCTCGACACCAAGTTGGTAAATTGTGCAAAAATCAGTACACAAATTTTAATAATTGACAAAAATTTGCAGAGGCTGCAATTTGTAAATGTAAGATGCATTAGATCTATTTGATCATTTCTCTCAAAGCACAAAGTATCTAATAAAATATATATATAAATAAAGTGAGAAAATTTAGATTTCCTGCCATTTTGATTATTTTTGAATCATAGATGTAATTAAATGGTAAAAAATGTAAATACTTTATTATAATTATTTTTCGAGAATTATATACTTTTCACTATAATGTGTTCTCAATCTAGTCAAAATGGTATTTATTCATTTCAATGTTTTTACCGGTAGTGAAGCCATTTGTTAGCATTAGCACTATTAGGATCTAAATTTCTGCATTATAATGCATCAATATGTAACAATACATATCGACAATGGGTACATGTATCATTACGCATTATACAAGTACACGTATTCATACGATAAGGATATGTGTAAAGATAATACAGCATCCAAGAATGGAAGTTTACAATGTTATCAAAACGATAATAATAATGATAACAATTATATGTACATGTACAGTACTCACAGAAAGTATTCGCTTGGTTTGAAATTATATAGTAAAATATATATATATATAAATTTTTTTTTGAATCGTATAAGAATTTCAACACAACTTCGAATTCTCCTCTTCGTATAAGTTTATTTTCTTTATGATTACAAGATTTTTTTTACCGTCCATCCGACCAGTTGCTTTATAAATTTTCCAAAACCTCCTTTTGCAAGATCTTTCTATAAATTCGTTTGTGATATTTGAAACAGTCCAACGCGGTCTTCATATTTTTGACGTTCAATACATTTATTACAATCATGCAATTCCATCGCTATCGAATATTCATTTGTGACCGGATTTTGAGTTATTCCGTAATCATCTTATAAAAATTCTGGAGTAATTTGCTTTGAATTGTGTAATGATTTCAACATAACTTTCTTTCTCTGTTTTTTGTATTTATCATCATTTTTGTTACATTCTTTTATTATCTTTATATCCACTAGACAATTCTTCGCTATAAATTCGTTTGTGATGTTTGAAACAGTCTTCGCGGTTATTATTGTGTTGACAACGCCGACATTTACTGCAATCATGAGTATTGTGAACTAAACACTCATCGCAGTATCTCAGTACAATGATGAGTACTTGATTCCATCTGTGATCGCTGATAAATGATAGTAAAACAAACGATAATCAATTTATGGATCTTTTAATGCATGCACACACCCCAAACTATAAAAAAACTGCACACATAAAAGTTGCACATAGCGATAGTATTTGAATCCTTACCGTTACATACACACCATACGTAACTATGCATGTATAACGACACCGATTATCTCTCGTTTGTTTTGCTATCATTTCAACCAATCCACTGAATTCAAAGATGGAATCGAATACATATAAATTTAATCTCATCTTAAAAGAATTAGATTTAACATAATGCGCGCAGCTTGAAATGATGGCTGTACAAGCACACGCGCATGCGATTTACTCATACATGTGGACCTATTTTGGAGTACTTTCAGAATGAAACATAATACATGTACTGTACAGTACGTGTTAACGCGGAAGTTTTGATATGAATGAATTATTATCACTTTGTTATGTATCTGTTCGTTTTATCTTCATTTTCAAACTACCAAACATTTTATAGAGCAAACTAAAAATGGAATCTAAAAATTCGAACATTCATGATATTGTATTATCTGTCAACTATTGCTCTCATTATTAGTAAATGCAACTTTTGACAAGAATGGAATTACTGCAATGGATGTTCAATGTACACTAGTTACTTGTAAAATAACGTTTGATTGGAACCCTAACCCCACCCCTCCATTTTATATCTTTACGCTTTGGACTTCTATTATGATCGCCGTCCAAAAATTTCGATACCGATACCTGATAAATTTAACAAGTGAAATCCCGAAATACTAATATTCCTATAGTTCCAAAAACTTGATTATGGAATAAAGCGAATAAAGGAGATGGGAATAGCATTTGGCCAAAGAATTCTAACAAAATACACGACATTAGGGATTTTACCATTCTGAGGTAACGAGTAAGATGACAGAATTTTGAAGTATCGACATTTGAAATTTCTGCTTATTGAATATTCAATATGAAACTATTATAAAGGTCATAAAACTAAAGAGCAGATGATTAGTAAAATAAAGCTAACAGACCATTTGTTGAACTTCTGAAACGCCTACATGTATTTCAAAATTCGCATATTCACTCATATTCTATGAATAGAATGTTACAAAATTAAATCTAAGTCTCATAACTTTAGTGCACTGCAGATGAATTTTCATTTTCTCAATTTCTTTGAATTGAATTTTGTAATTATATAAAGAACAAATATATTTTTAATCCTCGTCTGCCGGTCCTCAGCGTATCCTGCTGGATAGCTTCCGTTCTCCAAGTACCGTAGTATGTTGCAGCACACGATTAAACCCATTTTTTGTGTGTTTGTTTGCGATTTGATTGAAATTAATTTTTTTATTAATGATATAGTTTCTTTAAGTTATTTTCAGTAACCATTATCAATTTTCCACGTAACATCTTTATGTTTACCCATCTCTTACTGGTCAGGAAGATTAAACAAAATACTGATATCCTCTCTCGAATTGACCAACAATAGGATCCATATTCACTCTGCACTCAACGACACAAACGAAGACGAAAGCAAAAAAGATTAAACACAAGAATCAAAAAGAGAGATTTTATTTAATCACGACGCAAACATAACAATCAATCAACAAAAGATATCATTAATGAATATTTTGATTTATAGCGGTTGGAAGAGTGTCTATTGTGTAAGTTGTGGTGAATTTTGGTTCCTATGCCGATATCTACCGATAACTTTGAGCAAAAGCAAGCGTGATGAATAAAGAAGTGAGTAACCTAGACAATAATTCTGTGCAGTTTCTCTTCTTCAATACAACAAGCATGATGCCTTTTCTGGCGTAAAGATCCTAACCAACAAATAGAATAATGTTAAGAAACAGAGAAGGGAGAATAGTATATGGTTCTTGCAGAGTATTAGTAAACATTTTTTAGTAATAAGCAATAGGTCAAAGCAATTAATTATTATTATTATTATTAAGTATGGAATGTTAATTTTTTCATTTAATTTCAAGGACACTGTTTTATACACTCTTGTTATTATTTAGCTATTACATTATCAAGGTCTTAATATATGCGTTCCATATGTTCACGATAGAATTTAAAATACAATAATGAGTTTGAAAACAATTTAACGAAAAATAGTTTTTACGATTAAGCTGAATGTGAAGAGAAATTACGATAGTTCAAAAATGGATGTAATGAAAACGATGTAATTTCTATTCGAATTGGGTTATAATATTGCGTGTTAGAGTATCTAATGGTTAACTGCGGATCTTTTGAATTTAGATGGGTTTGGGAGAGTTTCGTTGTGTTAATGGGTTATTGGTTTAAGTGTCTGTGCCGATATCTACGGATATCGTGATATTTAGCAAGTACTGTATGTATGGCGTGGAGGTGAGTAACGTTATTAGTAACTCTGGATTTTTTTTCATGGGTTCCGTTCCTAATTCTACGTTTGCTTTTTCTAGATAAAAGCCTTAAATTTTCCGAGTACAGAATCACGTTGTCCAAAGGTCCTAACCTACAAACAAAATAACGGGAATGAATAAAGAAGTAAAGAGTCGTACACGATTCTGGCAGAGTTTCTAGTAAGTTTTTCTTTATTACTTTTTTTATTGTTAAGAGAGTTAATTATTATTTGTTAAATTTTTAATGGCTTACATTTTTGTTATCGTTTAACTATCTTAAGCCAAATTATTAAAGTTCCTTTCACATGGATTCTATTGTTTTGTGCAAATTCGAAACAAAGAGATATAATAAAGAAGATTCTTAATAATGAAAGAAATTAAACAGAGAAAAGAAAATAGAACTTGCGATAGAGTTTTGAATGAAATAAAGCTTCGGGGATGAACTCTAAAAGCGAATTTGCGATATATTTTTAAATATCGCTTTTTCTTAATATTTCGAAGTCCAAATTTGGACGGTCTCCGAATTTGTCTAATTGCCGGTCTATATCCGAATCGAATGACAATAACGAAAATACATGTATAACCATTTTTTTGATTCGGCTACAACTACAATCATGCAACCGGAGGCAATGATGATTATGCTTTTGCTATACGATTGCAACAAGAATTTGATAACGAATATAATAAGTGTGGTGTATTTCCTGAAGGCAAATTAATCGTATATTCAATTTTCAAATGTCATCTCGAACTAAATATGTTTTATTAATTTAGGATCACTCCGGTCTAATTACAATCAAGGCAAAAGTGACCATTCAAGTAAGGGTATTTTAAATTAGGAACAATTCTTTCAAATAGTTAGCATGCTAGCAACAACAGACCACTCCTAATCAACCTGACCCGTAAGCTATGTTTGACGATTTTTCTCGAAAGTTTCCGCCTATGCTACAGAACCAGCAATAACAGACTTCTCCTAATCAACCTAATCTGCAAGTTATGTTTGCTCAGTTCTTGGAAACATTCCAAATCAACAAAATAATAACTAATCTAATTAAAACACGCATAATAAAACTCGTAATAATGATAAAAACCAATCTTATTACTTCGATCACTTCACGCATAATAACAACAATAACCGATCTGATTACGGCATACGTAATAATAATAATAACCAATCTAATTACGGAACACGTAATAATGATAACGACTTCTCTCATGAAATAAGATCAACCTACTGGTAAAGAGCCGCGTGTCTTCAAAGTTCTTTTATTAGGTGGAGCTGGGACTGGAAAGTCTACCATCATCAACCCGATGACAATTACTTTTTAGACGGTACTCTTGATGTACCAAAGATTGTGATTTCTTCAAAGTATTACAAAGTTGCCGAAAGAAGTATCGTCGAAATCTTGGTAAAAATTGTTTCTAAATTCTGATTCGAATGACATTAATTTGTATGCTTGCATCATTACGATTGCAGAATTCGCTAATAAACTTTCGGAAGCAAAACTTGATGCAACTAAGAGCCAAACCACCAAATGCTACAACTACACTTTCAATCATTCTGACAATTCTGCTATAAATTCATCTTCATTAACACTTCTGGACTAAGCGATACGAATGGCGAGAAGCAAGATGACAAGAATATTCAAGAGATTATAGATGCGGCAATTTCTGCCGGCTCATTATCCGCTATCGTGATCATCGCAAATGGAATTGAACCTAGTCGATCAAGAAAACCCTTGATTCGATTGTCAAATAACCTTCCCGATGTACTGATCGATCGTAATCTATTTCTCATTTTAACAAAGCGCGCAAAAAGTAGTGCTTTTTTCTCAGTAGAGGGTTTCGTAAAAGATAATGCAAAGCCAAAGATTAGCATATCATTCGTTGACCTTCTATTTCATGATGAATTCAAACATAATACAGTTTCTTAACGCTTTTTTTTCTTTTAGCAAATTTTTTATATGGACAACCAAGCTTTTTGTACCAAACCCGAAATCTGGAAAGATGACGAAGATGAACGACATACCGTTCAATATCATTGGGATAAGTCTGTTTAGAACGATCTATAATTTCTTAATAGAAATCACCAAGTTGTCTTCTATTTCGACTGAAGCATTCGAAAACATGAGACCTCAGAAACAAATCAAATTCGAAATTGCTAAAATCGCTCAAGACATTGCAAATATTTAAAAAGTCCAGGACGCTCTTGATGCTGCCCAGAAGCCTCTGCTAAGAACTGGAGATCAAAAGAAGTCTTTCGCTAACTATACAAAGACCGAATCAATTAAACTTAAGAAAATCTTTAGTGATTCTTATGAATATAATATGAAATTTAGATGAGTAAAAAATAATAAAAATAAAATTTTTTACTTACCATGATAAATTCTGTATACATATAGCAGCATCTGTAAGTAATACTTTGGATTTACTTGAAGTTTATATTGATAATTATTCACAGCTATATAATATTCAGTGAGCCATAGAAAATCAAGAACTCCAAGAGATTATAGCTGAAATAGTAAACAAGGCAATGGAGAAGTTGGAGCAAGTGGTGAAAAAAAGATAACAAAAGTCATGGGCAGAAATCATGAGAGAAAATAAAGCAAATTGAAAAACAAAGATTTAACTGTTATTTTAAAATATTTTTATGTAAAAGATAAAACATATAATGAAGAAATATACAAATATTTTATTAAATTGGTATTATTTTTATTTGAGAATTGAAATATCCAATTCAAGCACATTAATGAAATCTCGCCACATTTTATAGTTAAAATTCTTAATCATAAAAATATTATTCATTTTATGGATTACCAAAGTAAAAATAAATTTATTTTATCAATTCAATGTTACCTTATAATTCATTAAAAAACAATTTTTTAGACGCGAGTTCTGAGAAGTATTTGCTTGTCTTGAAATATGCTGATAGCGGAACGCTTGGCAAATATTTGAATGATAATTTTGATAAAATGAACGGCAATGTTAAATTGAGTTTGGCTAGACAACTCGCTAAGGAGTAAAGTACATACATGATACAGACATTATTCATCGAGATTTGGTAAAAAGATTCAGCGATTTTTATAAATGCTAAAATTTAAGTATTTATTAATAGAATCACAATGTTCATAAAGAAAAAATTAGAACTTCAGGCCTGGAATACTTGAAGCTTACAAATAATCAAACAACAAATCTAGGTTATACTGAACCAGCATATCTAAAAGATGCAGCTAACTTTAAATTTAATGAAAAATTGGACATTTTCAGCCTTGGAATGCTATTTCCACCGACTAAAACAGTATCAATATGTTTTCGTCATCGAAAAAAGAGAAAATATTCTATGGAACTCCCGATGAATATGTGAGCTTGAATCACTAAAGGTAAATGCGCATAGTTATATATTCATAATTGACAATTTTATCTAATGGTCTTTAAATAGATTTATATGCACAAAGATATATGATGGTCATAGAGTATGCTGATGGTGGAACTTTCAAAGACTATTTTTACGAGAATTTTTCTAATTTATAAGGTAAAGATAAATTGAGTTTAGCTAAGCAACTTGCGCAAGGATTAAGAAGTATACATAACTTGGACATAATTCATAATGATTTGGTAAGGTGAAAAGCATAAGGTAAATAAATTAATTTATTAAATAGAACCTGTATTAATCACTAAATTTTCTGATAGTGAAAAATTAAAATTGCAGATTTAGGTTATTTGAAACTTTTGAAAAATTCAACGACGAAAGATGGGGGAATACATGTATATCGATATTAGTTTAAAATTTCGATTGAAACGATTTTGTTGAGTGTTATGTTGGTAGCCCATAAGACTAGTGTCATCAGTTATACCTTTTGCTTCTCTTCTAAGAAAGTTTACATAACACTCTCATCGAAACATTCTATTTGAAAATAAGAGGAATTATATAAAAACATTCAAAATTACTTACATCGCCACCCAATTAAACGTAATTCGGCTCCCACAGCTCTCATATATCTTCTGACTCTCTAACCACTAGACCATTCGTATTCACCACACATATAATCAGATTTTGCTGCTAATTGAGAATCACGATTTCGATTCTGTCATTCCGCAAAAACAGTGCGTATTCACTATCCGTTTAAATACTTCTTGCATAACCTTAACATCTTGAAAATAATATTCATTTATTTTCATTTATTTTTAACTCGCAGATCTTAATGATAGAAATTCAAATTTAAAAGAGAAATATGATGTGAAGTTTTTAAAGAAACATATAGCTTAGGAAACATGATACTGTATTTTCTCTAAAATTTCATATTTGAAAAATTCCTTGTATGAAAACCCAGATGCGCCATACACTATACCCCAATATGGCCCAGATATTTCCAATTAACCTTGAAGAAATCACAAATGTCCAAAAAAATGCACAGATCACCAAGAAGGCCAAGGCGGTAAGAAAAGATACAACCAAAAAGATCGAGATAATCGGGAAGGATTTTATGCGGCTTTGTCCATGCGTGTATGTTCGGATATTGATTTCCCGTTTTTCCTGTTACATATTCGCAACTTCGTCGTTGCTCTTAATCAGGCTCAGGTTTGAGCAGGAAATATTATCGATCAAGCCTTAGTAACATCCACCGTATTAATTTTCATCTATTGTTTTATATTTAAGTTATCGTTATCATGTTATCATTGTTAAAAAATAAAAATAAAAAATTTAAAAAACATGCATCTAAGCAGTTATTATTTATCAAACTTATAGTTAAAAAAGTCGCTATTGTTTTCTATCATTGTTATGACAAAACAGCAATCTTATAAAAACAACAATTAGACGTGCTTCCAATCTGACGGCAATCATCCAATATCCTGGTTATGGTTAGGTTTAGGATTGGTTGGATTGGTTAGATAACAAGTGTACATGTTCATAACCAATATTTTGTTTGGTCGGGGAGAAATCTGATGATTGCTGAGGAAATTTTTTGGGAGTCCATATAATTATACCAAATTTTTTGTGATCATTTTAGTAATGGCACTTTTTTTTAAGTACAACGGTCTGTTATAATAATCAAACTGAATGATGGAAATAAAAAAATATCTTGGTTGCTTCTTTCAAATTATATGCATTTTCTTTTAAATACGCCGTGATTGTTTTTGACGTTTTATACGATATTCTCTACATTTATATTTCCAGATGAAAGTAGTAACTTTGATTGTTTCATACTAGGTGTCACATTCGGGTGAATTTTCAAGTCTAACTTAAAAAGCCTTTCCACTTACTGTTGGTGGATATATGTTGTAAAAATTATGTAATGTAACGAATACATAATTACAATCTATATGATGAACATATATGCTAACAATAATAATACCAATTTTTTAAAATAGAGGCTCTATTAAATAATTAAGCAAAAGTATTATAAAAAATTATCGCATTTCAAACGGTATCTCCTCAATAATTTACACATTGCTTATTTAGAAGTTTTGCTCAATTAGTCAATTGATCTTGTATTTTTATGCAATAGAGAGGTTTTAGAAAATTAAAAAAAATTAATAAATTTATTAAGTTTTTTGTTATATATGTATAAGCCACACAAAAAACCTGTTCTAATAATTTTTCCCCAGCGTCGCGTGTTTTATCGACTAATTAATCAAACCATGGACATAATTAGCAAGTTGTGAGAGTTTAGAGTCTCTTTAACTAGATTTCTAAAGATATTGTAATAACCATGGTTACTGTTTATATTAAATGCGAGTTTTTAATTTAATAAGGAATAATTTTAAGGGGCAAAGGGAATTATGCTACGAATAAAAGAGATTATGTGTAATTTTAATAATGGACTTACTTATAAATCTACGAGAAAACAGAACAAGGTTTTTTACACAGTTAAACACAAAGGGAATCAAATAACGACTTACTTCTGGTAAAAAACGACAAAATCAGAAGTCAATAATACAAGACAAGCAAGAGGTAATGCTGTTTCAATTACTTTGAACTTTTTATACTTTGATGTTTAAGAGCGTCACATTAATTATTTGTACATGTTTTGGTCTATGTTTCGATCTATGTGTTTGGAGCATTGGGCAAAAGGCTATACTAAAAACTATTCTATTTTTATCCAAATACTGTACCAAATGGTCATCAAATGTCTAATTAAGTCATC